GTATCTGTCAGCATAAATGTAGATTTATTGGTGGGCGTATGCATATGCATGGTATGTATGTACACATGCATCAAAGGCTTTTAATGAATGCATTTACTCCAAAGCCTAACCCACAAGCTGCACTGCTAATTTTTACCCTGATAAGCCCATTTTTTTGCCGTCAGGAATTAAATCACAAGGGTCACACTCAAAAAATACATGCAAACCCATGTCTAGGGCATCAAGAGCTGTGACTCCTGAGTGTACAAGGACACGCTCATCCCCGGATGGAGGGAACAGACCTGCTGCAGCAACAAAAGGCTATTTCAGGCAAACAAACAGGCTGAAGGGGACTTGGACTTTTCAAGGCTTTTAATAATACTGGAAGAGGCTGTGGGAGAAGCAGACTGTTGCCTTCCCCCACGCATCCGCCTATCATCTGCACACACAGAAGCCAAGCTTGGATACGACATGCTCAACAAAATATTTCCACAAATGACAAAATGAGCAAAGTCCCTTACCTCCTCAGGCCTGCTCAGGGCATGTCCCTCGGGTCCAGTGATTCCCATCTCCAGGATACGCTTTTGTTCCTGCAACATAGGAGATAAATGCTGACAGCCGCTCCAGAATGAGCCCCTTGCACCAGGCACCCTCTGGCAGATTAACAGCCATCTTGTCATCTGCCTCCTTTTTGTCTGTGTAAATGCAGCTGCAAAAGCCTGCTGCTGGGGGAGAAGGACTGAAAACACTGGCTCTAAACTGGTCCCATGCCACCCCAGCGTCTGCTCCGCACAGCCAGCACCGATTTCAGGGGAAGACTTGTCGCTGCAGTGCGTTAGAGAGTATTTGCACCTTGAGCCATTGGGCTGCACCACTGGAAATCTCCTCTACCCTCCAGAAAATCTTATTCAACATCAAGACACAAACCCAGGGAACTGATTTCAATCATTATACTAAACAGTAATTATGGGTATTTCCAGTCCGCAATTCCTTCTTTATTCGCACAAATTTCTCTCTGACTGCAATCCATAAAGCACCGTTATCTTCCTTAAACTTTTAGTATTGCTGACATTTCATCAAATAAAATCTTCCCTTTGGCATCCAGTTTTCTGTAACACTTTTTTCCACAGAGTGAATCACTAAAATTATGTTTTCACAAAAACAAAACAGTGCCCTCCAGTTGTGAAGGCATCTGCAGCTTCACTGCAGTGAGATCAATTTTTAAAACTAGATTAAAAGCTTCACCTCTCTTTTACTTTAAGGTCAAGCAGTGATATTGGAATAAATTTCCCTTTTTGTAGGAAATGGTGGTCAACAACTTCTGACCTGAGGTTGGTCCAGGTCTGGCAGCAGAGCAGAAGTGGGACCAGAGCTGTCGATGTGCCTCCGACCCCGGCCTGCCCTGCCTGCAGGTCTCTAATGAGCCGAGTCCAACAAATGTAATGACTCTGCGATACAGACAAATGTCCCCTGGAGAGCAGGATGAAGTTACCGAACATACTACACTGTGTCATCTAATAAATATTTGATCCCAGGTTCCTGAGGGTGAAAAGCTCACACATTACCAACATACTCCAGCAAAACCTTAGCAAGTTTATATTCGCATATACTTTGGCTTTGCTGCAATCAATCAAGGCTGAAGAGACATTAATAGGAATGAATTAATCTGACACTGTCAATGTTATTTTGGTTAGAAAATCATAATGTTTCATAGATATTCTTAAAAACAGCTGTTCTAAATCATTAATGCAATAGCTCTGAACAGTGCCAGTTAAAGACTTCATATAATTAAATCACAACAAAAGCTGAAGTTGCAACCGTATAATACAAAAAGCAGCAAGATGCTAAGGAATGGAACATAAAGTTGGATATGTTCACATCTTGAAGGAAGTCATAAAATCAGATCATATGACAAAATTACTCACTGTAAGAGGATTTGATAGTGCTAATAAGATAGAATATTTGTTTGATAAGATCAAATTTGGATTTTCACACAAGATAGGCCTGTAAAACACCCCCCGCAGGCAGCTTTCTTTTCACTATCCAAATAATCCTTCTAAATAAAAGCATAAGGAAAGACTGATTTTATGAGACATGGCAATGGTGAAGAAATACGTTAAGGTATAATGTAATTTACATTTCTTCACCACTTCTTCTTTTTCTAATAAATATGCTTATATTACATGGCTGCATATTAAAGCTGATCAAAGAAAAATGTAACTGACACAGATTTCTATCAGAAACGCAATTCCATGAATGCACCTTGATTTTAACGGGAAACATATCGAAACATCACGAGTGCCATTTGATTTGTTTCATTTTGCCATTCCAATGATTTACTACATTTCTTATTATTAATTTTCATTCCACTGGATATTTGATGTTGTATTAAACCCATAAATTAGGTATTTTTGTAAATATTTCTATATATCGTTTTATGTATATACATATACAAAATATAATTATACTAAACTTAATGGGAAGAGATTTTTTTCCCTCTTGAATCAAAATGATGGTTTCCACCTGGTTTTAGTGGAGGAAGGACGCAACTGTACTGTATGCGCCTGTTGACTCCTCACTAGTAACTTTTGAGCCCACCGGTTATTTTGGACAAACTCGAAGGGAAAAGGGAAAGAAGGCTCTTAAAGGGGTCAAATTCCTACCAAGCAGATAAAAGACAGAATCCCATTGAAAGAAAAACAAACAGAACAACCCAAACATGTGGGCAGGAGCCCTTATACAGTGCCCAACCACTACATGTTCATTTGAGGTTCTCCCTTAACCATGAGACAAGGTGGCTTCCCTACTCCAGATCTCAAAGACAACTTGTTTTCAGCTATTGTAATTTCTCTGTCAGCTCTGCGGCCTAGTCCTTAGTGGATAAACCAGCAGATAAAGAGCTTAGTAGATAAATCAATCAGCTCACTCAGAGCCTCAGACCGCAGAGGGGCTCTATGCACGTACAAGGCATCAGAGAGGAAGGAGACATCTCTGCAACAGTCTTAAAAGATTCATCTCCCACAGATGCACAGAGTCATAACAACACCCACTCAAACCTGCCCATTCTGTTTTATAGGGGAATGCTGGCCTCTGAAAGACCAGTGACCCGTTTACTATCGACTGTTGTCCTTGGGATAGCTCTTTCGATGTGCTGCGGCACGGATCAGAGCTACAGCACACTCTGGTGTGAGGTCAGGTCCTACACAGGGGACCTGACCTGCAAAGAGTGCATTGGAGATCCGGAACATTTTAATGGAACATACCAAATTTGAGCCCAGTTTCCTGATTCTGACAAGCAAATTCTCAAACTTCAGAGATCTATAAGAATATTCTCAAAAATAAAAAGTCCTGAGAGCTTTACCATCCACTCCAAATTCACTATGCTGCTTATGGTGATAGCTGCAGCAAGACACATTAGCATAAAGCTTCTAAGCTCTACCTTTTTATCCCCAGAATCTCTGAGCAAGGCTTTACATTGTTCTGCTTCACTTGTCTCTGCAGGATTCACCCAGTCCTCATCTGGTGCCAAGGCAAGGAGCTGTCTGTATTGCTCTACCTCACAGAACCTCTGCCAAAACACGCAAAAGGGCCTCCACACTCTCATCCCGGAGGTTATACCAGCAGTGTGCAGGACATCACAGCCAATTAAGGCACTTACCAGGTAGTTCCTTTTTTGCTGCCCATACTCTGACTGGAGAGTTTTACTTCTCCTCTTTTGTGTCTATCTTCTCACAAAGTGAAGCAAAAATGGCAATTCACTCACCTGAGCTATCAAGTCTCCGTTTTCAGCATGGACCAGGATAACAGCCCCAAGGCTTTTTAGAAAGGTAAAGGCTTCATAAAGCTGCAGGTAGTACAAAGAAGGAAACACTGTTGAATAAGGAAAACACATGACTTAACACACAGGCTTCCCTGTTAACCTCCATTTTGGTCCTTCTATGCTGGTAATAGGCAAATAGCAAATTATTTCCCTTTTCCACTCTCTGCTTTCTACAGGGAGTCAGAGCTTCACTGCCTGGTGCTGACTGACCCAGCTCTTACACAGTCAGGCCCAGGATGAGCCTCTGCCCTTCTGCACAAGGACAGGGTCCACGGTCCTGAGCGAGGTTATGTTCCTTTCAGACACAGCGCCTGCCTCAGCTCCTTGTACTGCAGGGCTTCCTCTTCACGCCCTCTCACTCAGGCCTAAGTTTGGCGGGTAGTCTCTTTTCCATAGTTTTAGCAAATGTAAGATGGAAATATTCCCATGGACTACAGACGCTTTTAGTACTGCTAAACCACCTCTTTTCTGAAGTGCAGGCATTTTGCACCATCTTCTAAGAGCAGATAGGGTCGAGCTTTCACCAACATCTTTAATTCTGCAATTAGAAGTTGTGATGTTTTCTCTAGAACATTTCTGTTTTCCATTGCTTTCTATATTTCAAAATCCATCCATACAGAAGTGAAATAGTTGATCCTATTGCTTTTACTGAGAATTTCTGAGAACATATCTACTGAAATTCAGTTCCCTTTCCAAAAGGTATTCAACTAATGTGTTCCCTGTTCAAACCAGACTTCAGCAGCATGGGAGCCCAGTGTCCAAACACAGATCAAATACTGAAGACACGGTTTTTCCAGTGTCCACTTTTGCACTAGGGCACTTCACATAGCATTGAATGGGTCGGAATACACAGCCTCAACATCAGCATTTAAATAGGGGAACAGGCATTAGTCTAGCCACATATTAAACATTTTGATGTGTTTCTCTTGGCAGTTCCAGCAGGGAGTGGAATTTAACAGGCGCTGCCTCTCAGAGAATATTTATATATTATTATGTCTAAAATTCCAATTAAAACCACATGGATTGGAGGTGTAATAACAGTTATTTAAGAGATCAAGAGCTATAGCTCTGAGGAGAAGTAGGAAAGAAACATTTTCTCAACCGAATAAGTAAACATTATTATTACTAACAGATGCCACTGTCCATTTACAATGACCTGATACTTATGAATGGGAAAGCTGAAGAGCCGGGAATCTGTAATGAGCTCTGGACAAACACACTCATTGTTATCTCCAGCCCTGGAGAGAAAAGGCCACCTCCCCCAAAAGGCAACTATGTTTAGCTGTTTGCAGCAACTGAGAAATTCAAAATCTCAAAGCTGCCACTGCCTCGAGTGCTTCATCTTTTCTTCCCTCTCTGACCTAGAGTTCTTGAAAGGTAACAGCAAAATCAAGTGCACAGCAAAATCTTGAGCAGAGCTGAGTGGCTGCCATGTTGGGAGACACCAGAAAATCTTTGCAGAAAATGAATGTCACACACTTAAAGGAACCTATCCAGATGTTCAACATTGCTCAACACTGACCCTGCAGAGAGAACTTCCCCACTGCACATTATCCCCAATGCCACTCAGGTCAGTGGGAACATTTCTCCAGGATTCAACCTGAGCAACTCCTCAAGTGTTGGGAGATCATAGAAGAGAGGACAGATCACAGAAATGAAAAGCATTCAGAGCATTACCTGGCTGTCAGACATTTGGTAGAGATCTTTGTAGGCCATGTAGACTTGAAAAGAGTTCACACCTGTTCCAAGACAAAATTCAAAGGTGTTGCTATGTAAGTGGATTCTTAAATTGTGTTTGAACTAAACTGCAGGCAAAATAAGCCATAGAATATGTCTGGACTAGGCTTTTCACCAGATACTGCCAGAAACAAAGCACGGCTCCACAGCTGCACTACAGCCTGAATCCCCTCGTGTCTGGCGGAATTCGTTGGACTCTGTGCATTGCCTGTGTTCAGCCCTGGAGCAACCCAGCCACCACCAGAAAACAAGACCACTTGTAGCCAAAACACAGAAAAGCGATAGTGGCTAAAGTAAGCTTGTAAAGTTCATGAAGTTTGAAAAAACTTGTGTAAGGTTCTGTGAATCACTGGGTTTGCTTTTTAGCTTTATTTAGCTAATCAGGAAAACTTTTCAGCTTGACCTGAAACTGTGCTTTTTAATAGATCAACTTCCAGTTAAGTTTCCCCAAAATGCTGAGAAGCTGTAGGAACTGTGCATCCGAATTTGCATAGAAACTTTTTTTTTCTTGACCTTACTGGCCAAAGCACCCAGCTTAGCTGATGGCAGACACTGGAAAGGAGTGGAAGCAAAGTCTGAAACCAGTTACAAGGGCAGTTCACCACATCTCTCACCTTCTAAAGATGGAAGGATTAATGTCGGCAGTCATACAAAACCATGAAAGATGACAGCTCCAAATTTTAGAAATCAGTCAGAAATGCTAGTGTTGAGCGTTGGTGGCCAAGAACCAGCTGTATTCAAAGCACTACAGGTTTTGCTATTTATTTCAAATATTTGCTGAGAAGGATTGCACAGCTTTGTATTCTAAGGGAACAGGATTTCCAAACTTCTGTTCAGATCTTCTGTAGGTATGAATTCATCTCAGTTTATAAATTTGCCTTACTCTTTAGTCTACTGACGACACCCCCAGTTAGGTACAGGGACTGATCTCAGAGTTTTCTAGCTTAAAAGCAAAGTAAATTCTAAGTCATCTAAGCCACATATGCTGCATTTCAAAATAGATGTCATGAAAATTGTGTTTCCTGGGGCAAGAGGAAAAAGAGAAGAGATCTGTACATGTTACTCACATTGTCTACGCAAACAGAGTAAGGCACTCTGCTGAAGATATAACTCCTTCATGAGTCTAGAATGAGCAAGTATATCCTCAGGCAGAAAATACAGCTATTCACATGCACACAGAGAATTTGTTTATTCACAGTTGCAAGACTAAAATACCCCAGGATACACACAGGATAAAACCTTGAAATGATCCCTGGTATTATGTCTTCCTGCTAAGTCCAGGCAGCTCAGGGAGAAATACAAAGCAGGAGCCAGCCCCTCCTTGCTGACTCCCATGCTGAGCCTGGACCATGGAGCCTGTCAGCCTGTCCTCTCTTCCTATTTCTCAAGTTCCCAGAAAACACACGTGGCCTTTCCTAACTGTAATCCCTCAGTCTATTCCTCATTACAGATTTTGAAAGCACTCAGTATGTTCCTGCTTTAAAACCTTTAAGCCTGACTATGTCTTCCCTGGGTCCAACGCTCACAGCCTCATGCCCGCAGCCCCATCTCACCTCTGACTGCATCCAGCACATCTGCCCAACCTCCTGTGGATGAAAGCTCTGTTTTCTCCTCACAAACCCACCCAGTGTCTCAGATGTCAGCTGGGAGCCACCTTTCTGCATGGCTGACCATGCACACGTGAAGCAATGAGAGATGGGTCAAGGCTGACCCAAGCCATGTCAACTGGCCTCAGTGATGGCACAGGACTGAATGCTCTCGTACATATCTCACTGTTAGCAATGACGTGGGTTACCCATTGCCTTCCCTTATCCACTGGGATCTAGTCAAAGGCAGGTAAATCATTTAATCACAGTTCCACAGGAGATAGGGCTGCCTTCTCTGGGTACTGTGGTTGGAAGACATACATTGATGCAAGTAATATATATTCTCTTCCTTTTTCTTTTATTGCCTTTGTATCTTCTTGGGTCTTTTTCTGACCTTGGTAAAATGACAGCGTGTTGTTAACTTGTGTTAATATTACCTCTGAAGTCAGTGAGAGTAGAAGGGATCCTGCTGTGAGCTCTTGAGCCTGTCCCTTACTGACAGCTCCTACAGCACACAAGCAGAGTTCTCCCATCTAAATGCACATCCACGCTCTCAGCTACCACATCAGATACACATGAAGTGGAAAGGCATCTCACGGGCTGCCTTTACAGCCTACAGGAGAGCTGGTTTGGACCATCTTGCAAAGAGTGTACCTTCATGAAACGTCAAGATATAAATAAATAACACCAGTTTACATATCCAAGATGTCCTCCTTGCTTTTGCACCAGTACTTAACAGGATTCTCTCAAATTTCAGACAGTGATACAGGTTTTTTTGAACAGTGTCAAAATGCAGTAGTTAAAGGAACACATGAGGCATCTATTAACACACTTCAGGCTGTTGTTGTTTTGCATATACTGGAGAAGCTCAGTCCCAAATTAGCTGCTGAAATGCTACAAGCCTGAGTCATTATAATCAACATTTGGTTCTATAAAATCTCCAGGTCCTTCCAAAGCCTGTGTCTCCTTAAATTAGCTTTGTATTGATTTAAAACTGATAAATTACTCAATTATACCTTATGACAGGGCACCTCAACAGCAGCTCTGTGAGCTCCTCTATTATTCATGTCAAGATTGTATTAGGCACATGCAGCATTGAAACATGATTAACCGAGCCCTGTTACTTGGCTAACTCACCCACCAGACAATCAGCTGAGAACAAATTCAATCCAGATTCCCGGCTGATGAAAACCAGTGTCACTCCATTGACATCAAGTCTATTTGCACCAGCTGGCTCAAATGTTTCCAATTATCAGCAGTTATTTTCCATTATTTGAAAGCCCTTGCCACACTGAAATATTTCCTATTGTGCTTGTGCTTTCATATTCGCCCTTACCTTGTCTCTCCTAACATGAGAGTAATTCACATTGACTGCTTGAGACATACTGCAGCATCCATGAGAACAAAGGTGACCTCCTAATGCTATCACCACCACCGAGGCCACCAAGGGCCCCATCATACATCCCTGTTCAGGACTCAGTGAATAGATTCCTGCTTCCCCTGAAGAATGAAAGGCAGGTCAGATTTATATTGAGAACCCACATTTCAGTAGTTGGAGAAAACTATTAACCTGTCTGCATCAGGCTTTTAATGTAAGCCCTTAGGCAAATTTGGGAGTGCTGAGCCATCTGTGAACTGGGAGCTCTGGAAAATAGTATCTAACCTTTGAAACAAGGCACAGTGTACTTGTCTGAGAGTACAGACAGCTAATGCACAGCAGCATATCCATGTTAACACTGATAGCAGGGAAACAGCACAGATTTGGCACTATGAGTGTTGACAGATGTCATCACCTTGTAAAAATCACCTACATTACAAAGACCTATATAAGACCAGCTGCAGTTTATTTAAATTATGTGTAATCTTCCTGACTGAAGGATTTTTTTGCCTAAAATCTGCTTATACAGCACGTGTACTGCTAGCATACTGCGATACAGGATAAAATCCCCTGGGTGACTGCACCTCCATAGTATCTCATAGTGAGCAAATAATTGCTCACTCAAAAACTGGGTTTTGCTTTGTTTTTTTCATTTTGACAGTACATCTCTCTATAAAGAAAATATTTCAAATCTAAGCCCTTGCTAGCACTACATCTTAAAAAGAATGCTGCATACGTATATTACTTAAACTTCCCAACACAGGGGCCATTCTGATTTACCCATAGTAACTAAATACCATTTCAGAAAATATTTCCTAATCAGTATCCATACATTTTCAATCAAGTGAAAAACATTTGAAAAATACATTTCTGGAAAGAAAATCCATGCTATTAAGAGTATTATTATTATTATTATTATTATTAGGATTATTTTAAGGAATTAGATCTAAACTAGGAATTTCTGAAGGCCAGACTCAATTACCCACACACAAGTATCTAGTGCCACCAAGATGCTTTCCATATATGAGATTGCTACACTGAGCTGGCGTGTATGGAAAAGGATTTATGATGGGTTTTATCTGTGCTATTCTGAAGTGGTAGCTGGAGTCCAGGTAGGGTAACCTATAGCATATCACGTGATAGTAGGCCTGTTAATTGAACTGAATCAAGCACATAAGTGTCTTAAATAGATTCCTATTTAAGTGACCTGGTTTTTCTAAGTCCTGAGACAAAGCATCTTCTAGTAACTTCAGGGAAAGCCACTAGAGACCAAGCACTTGAGAAAATTAGTACATTTTTTCAATATTAGGTACCTAACTTTAGCATCTCTCTTTTTTTCTAATAACTTAAACCTATTTTAAAAATATAGGAATGTTTTACAAAAAAAATCTAGCCTCCTCAAGTAAATTATCTCAAGCCATTGCTGAGAAATGAGATCCAGCCTTTGATGCCAGTTTCTCAGACATGTGTCCGTCATATTTGGGCTTTATCTGAGGCAGCTAAATGGGCAGATTCCAGTCTGGTTAAAATCTGAACTGCTACCTTTAAATGTCTCATTTTCTCTGTTCATAAAATAGAGAATCTAAGGTGACTGAGCTGATTACCCTAAATGCTGATCGCTGAGTTTTATCTTAAAATGAAACTTAACTATGCAATGTCTGAGCCTATTTCCGTAAGTACAGGCAAGCATAAGATGATGTATTTGTATCCAACAACACACACATCCTAATTTTCCATACCTTTACTGGGGTAAGCCTACTCCCTCCATTGGCCTTGCTGCTGACTAGCACTAATGCACAATCTTTTAGGGCCATTTTACACAGCAGCAAGTGAATACAAGTTCAAGGTAGTGCAGAACCTTGGGCAGCATAACCAGCATCTGTGCATTTCTGTTCTGGATGATGCATTCATTAAAATAGTTCAAAGATTCACCTCCATATGATATTTTAATAATAATAATAATTTAAAAATGATGACTAATTTTCACTCACTAACCTTTGTCTTGCACCAGTACTTCCAGCTCTTCTCGTATCCCATCATACCAGCTGGTGATATCCACATGGAGAGAGTAATCACAACAGGATTTGGTGTCAGCTGCCTCATGCCACTTCTCAAAGGAGGTCAATAAACTTGATCCAGGCTCTGGAAGCACATGGTCAACTGGAAAAGAGATTGCATGTCTGTCATCCAGACTGCACACTGTTTGGGTTTCCTTAGTGCCTGTAGCCTTCCAGCATCTTGGCCAAAACAGAGGCCTTGGAAGCAATTTTTGTGCAGACCATAACTTTGGGATGTTAGCCAGATCCCACTGCCTCAGGTACAGCAGATTTTGTGGACAGTCTATACTAAAGCTGAGTCTGACAACCTGCTCGGTGTAGCATCAATAGACTTACAGTGGGATAGCCAAATATCTCACAGTTAAGGAAACATTTGGTTTTCCCTTTACTGTTTTGTAATAGACCACAAGTTCTGGACTTTATCCTGTATTTATTGTCTGATGTATCCATTTCTGTGTATTCCACAGTAAGCATCATTATTAATCAGTGCCTCCCAGTTGCTGAATTGGCCCACTTAGCCCTATCAGTACATCAATGGAGACGTCAAATGCTTTCCCAGCAGCCAGAATTGGGAACACAGCCAAAGGTCTGAACAGATGTAGGGCACAAACACTCAGCTGCACTATATGGCAGATCAAGTGCGCTGCAACTGTGCATCTTCACTGACTCAAGGCTTTCTGCGTCTGATGATGCCACAATGTTTACTGACATAAAATAAAGACATGACTACTTATGCATATACACTTACTTTTGACCTAGCCCTGAAAAGGTAAGTTCAAAAACAAAGCAAGATGTGCTTATCAGCGGCATTTGCAAACCTAACACTGCACAGGAAGCCTCAACAGAAGAACATACAATAAAAAAGGTATTAACAAAAGTAATGAACAGTAGTGCATTTTGTGCTTATTGCCAGAGATCATTTCAGCTAATACTTGCTGCTAAACATAGGTAACAGCCAAAAAAAAAGCCACATTCCAATTCGGGCAGCTCCTCTGCAAAAGGGAGCCAGGACAATTTATTTCACCTGAACTGTTGCCTCACAAAGGCTAAGCAAGGGCCAAGCCACTGCTATTAGGAAAGAGATAAATCTTGTTCTGCCATCTGGTAGACTGAAGAATGGTCTTTAACAACTAGAAACACTTGTCCCTTCCACCAAGAAAGATGTCCTCCAGGACATCTCTGGTAAAGACTTCCTCAACTCCTGGTGCCAAATGTAAGTTCATAAATAAACATCTTGTTATTTCCAAAGCCCATGAAACATCACTAGGTGGGAATAGCGGATCTTTGTAAGATTTTATGTGCCATATACTTACAACACTAATTACATTGTTTTTTAAAAAATCACCAAAGTAGGTCTATTATCCCTTAGTGCTTGTTCTGTATTTCAGAGGAAAATCCAAGAGACGATTCCCCATGCTGTTTCTTTCTGAGGGTAAGTTCATTTTCAGGCCAACCCTGGGTGACAATGATGAATGGATCTCCAACACGGTGCCCAGAAGTTTGAAGATTTATTACAGAGTATCTCAGAAAATCAGTATGGAGTCTCTTGTAGCTATCCACACATGGTACACAAGCTTCAGCCTGGGGTGGGAGGAGTTAGTATTGCTAGTACTCACTGATCATGGTGGTTCCCCCTGCTAGCGCTGCTTTTGTGCCTTGATAGAAGTCATCAACAGCAGTCATTCCCTGGTAGGGCTTTTGTAGGTAAGTGTTGACATCTATTCCCCCAGGAATAACCATGCGCCCATTAGCCTCTATGGTCTTGACTCCTCCAGGAACAATCAGATTCTCTCCTATTTGCCTAGGCAGCAAGGAAAGACAATATTCTTTTACTTCAACAAAGAAACACAGCGGACAGAAGCTATTTGAGGCAAGAAGGGGAAAGGAACCTAGGGGCCATACAGAAAGAACTGGGACCCCAAAGGAAAGGACAAGCCCAGGTATGCACTCTGGCCACCCTGCACAGCTCTGGCAAAACAAAGAATCCCTGAGCCCGCGCAGCTGGGCCGTGAGCTGGGGTTGCTTTGCATTCTCTAGTGGCCAATAAAGAAACCATAACACACCAGCATTAAAAAATACTATTATTTTATATGATTCCTATCTTTAAACAATTACAAATATGTGGACTTAACGCTTTCTTAGGGATTCTGGTTTTGTATATAGTTCTTAAATGAAAACAGAAAAACAAAGATCAAACATGACAGCAAGCTGGAATTGTAAATATGTGGCAAAAGCACAAGGCACATCAGAAAGGAGTTGTAATTACTTTGTAACCAAGCAATGCAAATTTATCCTTAAAAAGAAATCTAAATATCATAAGATAAAGAAATAAATCTTTAAGAGACCCAAACACCTTAATCTACTGTGTCACATATTCTTCATCCTCCTTTTAAAGTTAAAACTTAGCAAAATGCTCTAAATAACTGTGTGGAAAAGTGTTGCCATCTTTTTCTCTTCAGCTCTTCAAAACTGAGTATTTTTTTTTCCACTATTAAAAATATTAATCTGCCTGCCATGCTGATATCAGGCAAACTCCAGACACAATCAAAATACTTTCACTGTTCAGGGACACAGCTATGAGTAAATTAACCTTTAACTTTTAAAGCCACATTACATTTTTATTGTCTGCATTGCATGGTGCCAGACAGGAAAAGGTCTGGGTCTGTGTGGAAGCCATGTGTCTGCACTGTTACACTGTAATATACTTGGGCTTAGAGATCACTATAAGGTAGTATAACTAAAACAAGTTCACTTAGTTTATCTCATACTACAGACACAGAGTCCTTGTCTTAATTTCCTTTTGTCTGGGATAAAATAACACTTATCCACAGCTAAAAAAATACCCCAGACATCTGAGCTGCTGAATCTGTTTCTCCCATATTAAAATGCAATTCCCACCTAAGGAGCCAATCACAGCAACAGATTGACAGCCAATCACAACATGCTAGAACCTAAAATGACTATAACCATTAATTAAAACCAGTGCAAAAAAACGGGATAAGTATTCACATTGGAATTTGGCCAAACCACCAGAGTTAATAAATAGCTCCAAGAAGTCAAGAGTTTGTTTCATATGCAATGCAAAAATGTCACCTCCAGCAGCTTGGCTCCCCCGGTGCTCTGGGTTTTGACCGGAGGGAAGCAGACATTTGGTTAGCCAAGTCCTTGCCAGCACCCAACCAGAGTCTCAGCCATTCCGCACTGATCAAACCCAAAACACCTTATACATGGGAGCTCATAATATCACAGCTTGAAGCCGTACAACTCTGTGTCTGGTGTCTAATAGTCATCAACACATACAGCACTGGGAGCATGTCACAACCTGTTTACAACTGTGCATGTCGCTGCTGATATGATGACAAACAGGGAACTGATACATGTGCAAAAGCCAGCAGCAGCCCAGCACATCCAATTGCACAAACAAATTGCAAGAAGTTTCTCTGCTGTTAAAATCTGACTCGCAAAGGCAGACCATAAGGCACTCCAACATGAGTGTATTGAAAGCTTGCACAGAGTTAGGTAGCCCCACAGTTAATAATGGTGTTACACTCATTTTCATTACTTGAATCCACTTCCAAGGTTTTAATCAGAACAATCCTCAACCTGTGTAGAGTGTTTGAATGGCTAAAAAACTGAAGTAGGTTAAAAAAACCCCTTTACTATGACCAATCCCCTTTAAATACATCTAAGGTTGAATTGCACTCCAAGGACTACTACAATTTCTGAAAATAAAAATATTAAAGAAAGCCTACACAAAAATATTAAATCAATTTATTTTTATTTTCTTCCACAGCAGTATCTACCAGTTCCCTGTTCAAGAGAACATGTATCCTAATGAACTAAGAGACTGCTAAGTACGTACAGAACTTTTCTGATGACTCATTGCTCATTATTTTCAGTGTACAGTTGAGTTAACAGTTTATTTGGCAATGGCTGAAGCCATCCATGCTGAAGTGACATAGGACCAAATAGCCTTTGTGGTTGATGCTATGCTATTACCTCTCAGGAACCTGTCTCAGCTCTTGCCCTGGTATCAAGTTTAAGGCTGGGAGAAGGTTGATCTTCACTTGTATTCAAGGTTACTTTTATTCTGACTGACTAGAACACAGAGTAAGAGAGAATGGGACAGGATTCCTGAATTCCTCACTCATTAATGCTAAGTGTATGTTAATAAGAATGGGGTTCAGTTACTTGTTGGTGAAAAAATACAATAGTGCAGATAACTGTATCCTAGACACAGTATAAATGATTGAGCTGCTTTTCTGATGCACCAGCAACTAGAAAACCCAGACTCACAGAAAGTTACTGCTGTCTGCAGTCTTCAGTTGAACAAGCTGGTAAATTCAGTCATACATGAGCTGATTAAAGCACAACGGAAATGTCAGGCTTCAAAACTCCATGAGGTCAACCTGAGAAAGTGGAAAACCTCGCCAAGGACTCCATGGAGTTATCACTGTCATTATCAAGCCCAGGTCTCTTTTAGGCATCTGAGGCTCCCTCCGACTTGGCTCATCACCTGCCCAGCTCTGGAGACCCCATCCCCAGTCACCCATTCTGCACACTTGCTTGTCCCCTTCAGTCCAGGGGGACCCAACCATTTGCCTTGGCAGGGATGGAGCAGAGGACAGCAAGCACCGGACTATGACCTGCTGCTTGGCACAGAGAGAGAGGCTCCATGGATTTCCTCATGTGGATAACACAGACAGCATAGATGTACACAAAATACATTATTTATATGCCAATTGCAATTAAATTACCAACTATCTAAATTACTATTTAGATACCAGAGAACTGCCTCTCAGCTGCCATCTGAGTGTGCATGGCTTAAGTTTCAGCTAGGAAAAATCCGTATGCACTACTGCTCCCTTGTACCCAGGGAGTCAGTCTGAGCATTAATAGGTAGGAAAAAGCATCCACCATCCTTCAAACTATAGGTAGTCTTCAAACACATCCAAGGTCATACCTCCATTCCTCTCTGCAGGACAATCTGCAGGGTCATAAGCCTTGAAAGACTTTACTTCATTTCATTAGTCAGCAAGAGGAAACCCAACCCTCTATTTTCTAATCACCTTCCACTGCAGAATAAGAAAATAAGCCCAGATCATCTATATCCCAGCAAAACCTGAACACTTACTCCCTATTCTGAGCTGAGTGTTTGGTGCCTGCTCCATTCTGTGGAAAGACTCCTGTATTACCAGCAGGATTTGCAGCTAGAGAGTTAGGGCATCAACTGAAACCCGAGTGTCTCACATTCAAGGTCCTGCTCCAAAGGATCTTGAGCAACTTTTAAGAACTATGTTAAATATTTAGAAACGATGGGCAGTTCCAGATGGAAAAACTAAAAGAGGCCAATCCCAGAAAATATAGCGCTTTCCTAGACTACAGAATTTATCATCTGAACATAGTTATGTTCCAAGCCCACCTTACACCAGGCTGCCCTCATAAATTAACCACTATTTCAGAGCAAGATTTCTTGCACAGCTTACAAAGAAAAATCTTGGGTCACTAAATCCAGGAAACCAGTTGGATAGTAAACTTACCTCCTTGGGCAAAGATAAAGGCATTTAAAAAATTAAGATCTTGCCTGTCTATTCATTATTAATCCTAGCTATCTTGGGCAGCTAAGATACTTTCTGAAGGTATGGATCCATGGCACCAGAAAGCTTGGCATTGCTAACCTGCCTACCTAATACAACTGCAGTTCTGGAATCAAGGCCAAAAATTCACAGCAGTTTCAGACTCTCGGCATCTCATGCACTTAGTTGTTAAATCAGTTCTGATATTTAAGAGAGTTACTAGGAAATTTTCATCTGAGCAAACAAAAGCACAGAAAAATTCGAACTATCAGAGAGCATAACTTCATTCATTGTTGCTAGTAAAAAAAAAGATATGCATTCAAAATTTTGTGCCTTTTCCACTTAAAACAATATGCATATTCTGTCACTACTGCAGTGCAAGTAACACTACAACTGGAAAAACAGAATGAAGTATTAAAAAGAAAACTGCACAGTCCATGGATAAAAGTGTTCAGATATTTTTCTGTTACAATAACCTGAATTATGAATAATGTAAGGAGCCACAGATATATAATGAATCAGACTTTTAATCTGATGGTATATTCTCACAAAAAGGAGCTCTGAAAACAAGTAGGAAATTTACCAGATAATCATAATTATACTTCCGTGTATTAAATTGTAGCGTCTAGAGACCAAACTTATTAAGTCACTAGTGGAAATGTTTAGCTGTCAAGAAAAAGGCTTTGATCCTTGTGTACATCAGAGTGCTTGCACACACACTACATAATTTCACAAAAGTAGAGGCCCTCATCTCCACTAAGCCAGGGTAGGACCAGTAGAGCTGCATGAATAGACATCTCTGTTACTGTTTTCCAGGCTATCAGTAACAGACATTTAATATTCTCTCACCTAAGGAATACTTTCCCAGTTTCTGTATCCTGATAAATCAGTAGGATTCTCTTTCTAATTGTGTGAAGATTTAAGATCATATACCTTTGCTAAGCAAGAAAAGGGACATATGAGCAAAGCATAGCAGTGCTGGAGGAACAGAACTTGCTACACTGCAGCATTAACTAACAGGGGACTGAGAAGGAGTCAGCCCCCATCAGCACCATGTAACACAGGCCATATTTCTGCGCCATACAGCCCTTTGGAGCATGGCTGCGTTTGGCCTGATTGGGTGTGGTCAAAAAAGCTGTAATAAGCCTTGTCATATATGAGCTCAAAAAATATCCATTGTCCTTACCATTACTGCTTCTGGTGTTGAGAAAGCCTACTTGCCTTGACTATTTTGGAAGAAACTAGGATTGAACTTTCACTTCAGTGAAGAAATTTTCTATTTATCTAAACTTAGTAAAGATAAAATGGCAGAATTTCATAATTAAACACTCCTCTACTGTGGCCCCACATCTAGAGGTAACCATGGTGCTGCCTGCAAGATTTCAGGTCAGCATCAAGAAATCAAAGTAATCTGTACTAACAGGCATGCAAAAGAAGTTCAATATTTTAAAAAACCAACTTTATAAGTCCATCTTCAAGGTATATGTCTGCATAGAAGGAGTGGTCATCATTGATAATTCTTCCACCTTTAATGAGTAGTCGGTCACTCTGGGGGGAAAAAAAGGAAGAGATGTGGGTTTGTTGAAATAAATAAACATAATAACATATTGATGATACCAAATAGGTTTATATTATATAGAAAGCCATTAATATCAATGCACTTACCCTATAAAAATGTCTATGCCATAGACTAAGGTGGGTAAATAGACAATGGAGAGGAAAACTATAGTTTCATTGAGTGTTTATTTCTGACTTTTGGAAAATGAGGCTTCATGGTCATCACAGTCTTTTTTTCCTTAAAGCAGAACACTTTGCACATGGAAACATTTGAAATCCTGCTACATCCCCTTTTTACCACCACCTTACTGTACAAAGGCCAAAAAGAGAAGAGAAGGCCGCAGAATAAACTGCCCAACACTGGAATGGCCAATCTGAGCTCACCTGTGACTCTTGCCCCATCATGAAGAGAAACAGAGCTTGAAACAGAAAGGGATAGGGTCAGGAGAGGCTGCTGAGCTCTGTAATGCAGAAATTCCTGTTCAGAGAAGTGGCTTTAAGCAACGTCAGCTCAGCAGGGTCAACTTGGCCATTCCACTGGGGAGGCCAAGGGACACAGCCCACAGCTTGGGCCTCCATACTGTGTTACACACCGAGAGTAGAAAAACTAGTTTCTAGTGGGCATGAAGAATGAATTCTTGCCTAATTTGTGATTCCAGAAGGCCAAAGGCTGCTGTTTAGTTGGAGCCACTCTGTACTGAGGCTGCCCACACCATATCTTACTCCATGAATGAGGACAGGAGTGCAGTCTTCAAAGTTTAGTCTACCTGAAATACCATATGAACAGGAGAGAGAGCTACTGTCTCCTGGTAATTTCTAAAGTGCCAGAAAACAAACATTTTTCCCATGAAGAACTGTCCAAATATCAAGTCTGCTGGGGCACTGTTCACAGCAAACATCTGTTTCCATTTTTCTCTATTTAAATGGTTAGACTCAGTCTCAAAAAATACATTTTACAAAAAGCAAGCCTTACCACTGCATATTCCTGAGAACTGCTATTTGAACTCCCTCACTGAAGAAGTCACACTGGAAACATCAGCACTCCACCACCTACCCAGAGACAGGGAATGTCTGTAACCTCAGCACATAACGCTTTTGGAAAGACCTCTGCCAAGTGACTGTGAATGCTGGAAAACTCTAAACCAGTCAGAACCTTCTTTTCTCATTCATATATCTATAAAAGCCATTTATAGTAAATTATTTCCTTGACTTACCAGACAATAACTCAGAATCTCCTTTTGTCCATGTTTTATAGTCCTCACTCCAGGCTCAAGTCCCGGTTTAGTTACAGGATGACTCACACATATAAACTATTCATGGCCCAAGTTCTCAGTTTAGAAAACAACTAAACAACTGGATACATTTCTTCATCTATAAATCCAGGACAACAATACAGACCTCATAAAAATTTAATGATTAAAATGTGCTGAGTCAGAGTTAGGCCTCTCAGTTACATGTAGCATATTTACTTTCAGCTTGTATTTGAACATTTTGCCCGTTCAAAGACTCTGTAGCACTTTATATAATTCTAGAAAAGCAAGAAGGGAGAAACAGATACTTTAAGGGGGGGAAGAAAAATGAAAATATGTTTTAAATACAGCCATGACAAATGAGTATGTACATAAAAGGTCTGAGGGTTTTCTCCACGTGCTGCAGCAGCAAGATGACTCTGGGGAGACCAAGGCCCAGAACTACAACGAAGTACATCCCCAAGGCCTGCCTCAGATGTTGGTACCCTCTCATTAAAGTATGGATATGAGTGCAAGTCCTTGATCTGGAATCTGCCAGAGCAGGCTCCCTGTTTTCTCCTCAGCCTCTTTACTGACACTGATAATTGCAGGACCTGTGAATCAGCAGCCTGAATGGTAATAAATTATTTTGCCACATGCTGGCAGCTGCATCTCCTCACCATGATGATTTACTACACTGCCTGCTGACCTGTGAAGACCACCGTCTTGTGAGCTCTTTTTAAGCTCATTCAATTGCCTTCCTGAACATTAATACTGTCCAATTACAGGAGGCAAGAGCTTACTGATACAGGCCAGGAACCTTACCAGAGCACTGCATCTGTCACTGCTAATGAGTCAAAAAATCTGCATGCTCATCAAGATGTTCTACATTTCATTTCTTTTAAAACAGGAGAAGATACATAACAAATAGGAACTAATGTAACAGGCCAGGAAAATAACAGATTAAAACAAAGCAGAAGTACAACCCCAGAAAAATAACTGCAGACATAGGTATTTTTGTATGGTTTTATATATAAATATACATATATAAGTGGCAAAACTAGGTATTAGTATAACCTGAAACTAAAAAGGTTACAAATGCAGTTTCAAGAAAGCACTCAAATGTGTGAGTCACCCATTAAATTAAGCCTCACTAACAGTTTGTAAAGGATTACTGAGTGCTTAACTATGAAGTCTTGCCTTCCTCAGAGGGTCTAAGAAATTCTGGTGAAGAAAGAAAACTGCACTTTATGGAGACCTTCAACATTTTAATTCTTCACACCATCCTGCTCAGAAGAAAATACAAACCATTCAAAATTGTTGCAAAAAGGAGCAGGTCCTGCACCTGAGCTGGTCTGTGGCTAAGGTTGCCCCCAGCCAGGAATAGGAAGTCATGGGAGATGAGACTGCCAAAACACCACAAAGGTTGATGCTCCCCAGGTAGTCTGCCAAGACATGGCAGAGAGTGCTGTGGAGACTTGCCCAGCTTTCATCAGGACCTGATAGATGTGGAAACTTCTCTGACACACATTTCCATTCCAGAAAACCAGCAAATTCACAAGAAAAAGGGTTTTGTTGGAACTTGTCCCAACCAGCTTGAGCTGTCAGTGTGTCTGTAGGACACCTTACAGACTGCTGCAAGCCAGGAGCACAAGCAAAGTGGGGTATTTTACACAGATGGTGCTGACAGGCACAAGCAACTCGGTGGGATTTCAGAGCCACGTGGACACCCCAGCAGCGTGCTGTGCCCAAGCAGACAGGCACTGCCTCCTACAGCCTGCTCCGCACCAGGGGTGGCTTGTCCTCAGCCAAAGCAGTAGTACTAAATGGCTGTTTGCACCTATCCACAGAGGTGCATTTTCATGAACACACTGGAAAAAATTACACAAACATAACTGACGAGCAGAGAGGCATGGGTTAATGTTGACAAGCAATTTGCTGCATAGTTCATTAAATAAACCTTCCTACAAACCTTGGGTCATCTTATGAGTATTCATCCCCCACCATAACCTGAGCACAGGCTTCAGGCATAGCCACAGCCCTGTCCTGAAGGCAAAGGGGTTCTGCCACCCTGCACCACTGCCACAGCCACTGATGCCTCCTGCACTGTTTTAGGCCACCAGCACTTGCAGCAATAAAATCCTGGACAGAAATCTGGGCACACACGGGACCTGTGAAGTAGGTTACCCTCCTTGGGCACACAGCCCGGCTGTGCATGGTCAGGAGCCATTTATTATTTATCAGCGGCCTGATGTCAGGCAGACTGCTTGCACTTTTCTAACCAAGTGCAAAATGTCTGAAAAAACTAGAGACCAACAAAGTGCTCCTCTGCCTTGACAATATTCCCGGCAGGAGGACAGCCACAATCCATAGCACCCAGGGGGAGGGTGAAGGGAGGAGTGACCTGAAGCTCATGAACTAATCACATAGCACTGGCCCATATTTTCCCTTCACAGCTGTAAATCTCCCCAGGCAGGACACTTTCTTTGCCTAGCTCTCAGATGTACCCTCAGCCACTCGGGTGAGCTTTGGGCACCCTCACAGGTCAAACAACATGCTTGTTATGCAGCTCAGGAGGTGACAACAGTGTAAGCCTTTATAGGGTGGTTGTCATTGTTATAGTCAGCTAACAGATGTCTCAGTCAGTGGTGCTCTGTCTACTGAGCCCTAAGGGCTCCATACCAAGTTTTCAGTGCATCCCCTGCCACAAGAAGCTGCCAGGCCAGCTCTACCGGGTGCAGGCTGAGAAAAGCTGCTAGGACCCTTTCCTCCCTCCAGCCTGCCGAGGACAGCAAGCAGGAACACAGCAAAACGGGGGG